AAATGTTATTATAAAACAGAAGAATAAACTTTATTGTTAAAAAAAAATGAGGAAGAAGAATATTACCCTAGTTTCCAAACTTTGAACCTCAATCTTTTTTGGCTACTTTATGTTTCATAGGTATTTTGAAAGGATATTGCGTTTAAAAAGATAAAATAAGCAAGTCTTTAATATTTTTTTCCTTTACATAATCCAAAAATCAAAACTGAACTTTTCCTTGGAAATGACATGAACATCTTAGTAGAAATATAGAATGCGCTACATTTTTCGTTCTTTTATGCTGTAGAACGCATCATATATTTGTAAATAAACTTGAGACGACATAATTTAAAACTACGAAAAATATGAAGGTTTAACGGTATTTTGATTAAAGAAAATGTGTATCTTATATATCATGTGACGAGAAATAAATGGATAAACTACCAACTTAAAGAATCGTGATGAACCCTAATTGCAGGAAATAAATGTATGGATTACCTTTTTCTTTTTTATATGATTACAGGTAATCCACAATTAATATGTAAGATCAATGTATGAATTACTAGTTTACTACCTCATAGCATCATAATGAAAGCCCTTCATTTACAACGGAAGAATAACAAATGTCTCTTTTGGGTCAATTAATAGAGACAAAACTTAAAACCATGGTGGATGCCTCGACATTGATGTACAATATAGAGTCTAAGACTATCTGTCCCTTGAACAGTGAATTATTCCTTAAAAAAAATAGTGAATTATTTATCAAAATTTATTTATTTGTATTATTAATATATTTTTTATTTTATATACATCATATCAAAAAAGTGTTACAGTATATTTTTCAAAAAATTATCTTAAATAATCTATTATCCAAATAGGACTTATTTCTTGGCAAATGATTAAGGCGGGCAAATGGGTCCTTGCAAGTTGATAATGAAGTGAAAGACAACCCACTAAAGAGTACAATTTCCAAAAGTGGTTGTGAAAGATCTTTTGTTCTTTTTCTAGAAATACACAAGAAGCAAAACTTCTTTTTGATTTGACACCATTTTGGATGAGATTATCTTTTCCCTATAATTGCGCCCCTCAATTGTATTGTAGAATAGCCTGAATTAAATTCAAATACTCAAACTGTAGAATACAGTTTAGACTCTTGTATACTACACACACACATATATTAGTATTACATCACATAATTATATTATTTCAAAATATTTTTTTTGTCAAATTTAGATCGTCAACATCATAATACAATGTTTGTATTATTTCATTTGCTTTAGACAATAGGCTTTAGAACACATAATTTAAAAGTCATAAATGTAAAAAATTTCAAACTTTTCTGAACTTTGAGGTTAATTTATAGCTTAAAATTCAGAGAAACAAATACTAAGACCATTATGTTTTGTCAAATTTATTTTATTTTCATAATATCATTACATTTATTAAATCACAAAGGTTGTAATGTATTATATACACAACAACAATGTTAAGTTGAAACAACATACATGCACAAGCCAAACGTGGAGCAGTAAACAACATCGATAATTAGTAGTAAAGTAAAGATTTAAATTGTCAAGGTAAAATACCAGAAAATTTCCTGTGGTTTGTTAAATATTCAATTTAACTCTCTCTGATTTAAAAAACTACACTACAGCTTTTCATGGTTTCAACTAAATTGAAAATTGGACGGAAAGCATCAAATCTAATGGTTAAGCGTGAATTGTCAATTTTGCCCCGTTATAAATGAACTCCTTGTGTAACATGTCATAATATCAAAAGCCCTCATATACCCAATCCCAATCCCAAGTTGACGAGGATTAAATGACTAATCCAAATTAAGTTGGAAATTTCCTTATTTTTTTTACCGATCACCAATTATAATTTTAAGAGCGAATCCCAATCCCATGTTAATGAGGATTGGACGACTAAACCAAATTAAGTTGGAAATTTCTTTTTTTTTTTATTTATCGGTCACCTAGCATAACTTTAAGAAGAGAGGGTTAAGTTAGGTAACGAGGTAGAAGGGATTGTAAATAGAGATTTAGGATTTAAGATCTGTCACTTAAAAAAAGGCATAAATCTAGAAAGAAACAATTATAAATCTAGAACGAGACAAATTATTTACATTTATTCGCTATAGTATTCCCCCCTCCTCCTCCCCTCCCCACCCCCAATCCCCTCCAAGAAAAAATTAGTTTTTGATAGTCGTTATTATACTTCTTGACATTTTGAATTTGTGTAGTTGTTATTCTTTTGAACTAGTATTTGTTTTCCAAGGAACATCTCACTTAAATAATTTGGGCAATTACCATTCTTTTGACTTATATTTGCTAATTTTAATACTCCCTTTGTCCCATTTTGATAGTTTTAGTTTTTTTTCACACAATTTAAGAAAAATTAGTTAATTTTGTTGGAAAAACAAATTTAGATTGCTATTTTTCTAAAATACCCTTACATTAAATAAAGTTAGCTTTTCATATATGAATATGTTTTGGAAAATCTAAATGCATTAAATGGGGTATGTTATATTCAATACTAACAATCTATATTAAATAAAGTAGTTTATAGTAATAACAATTTATATTAAATAAGAATATTTTAGAGAAATTAAAAGACAACTACATTTTTTAATTAGAAAGTAAACTATAATTTGGGACAGATGAAAAAAAAATAGGACTATCAAAGTAGTCGAGGAAATACTAGATTGTTTCTTTTAGCCCCGAGTACCGGAACTTTTTCTCTTCGCTTGTTTTTCTGTTCTTTGCCCGTGAGTAATCAATTCTCTGATTTTGCATAAGGTTGACTTCACTTTTTGTGGATCCTAATGCTTGACTTTGATTTTTGTAGACTAGTGCTTTGACTTCGACCCTTTGTTGCTCATTGTGGCATTAGCATATTTGGTTGTTGGATCTTAGGCCACCATATTGGAATTCCTGGTTGCTTTCATACTTGGTCAATTTTTTTTCTCATTTTTTTAATGTAAGTGAAAAGTTTTAAATTCGAAACATTTCACTTACACTCATCTACCTGTATCACTGAATCCATCCCTCCTATAATTTGTTTGGATAGAGTATTATTTGAAATATTATTTGGAATAATTATTGTAACACATTTTATGATGTAATGTATGTGAAATAAAAAGGTGGTTAGAAATATAAAAAGATGGGTTGGAAAATATGTTTATGATGCAAGCGAAATATTATTTGGGATAATTTTACTATCCAAACAAACTTGTGCATGTAACCCCTTTTTAATTACTTTTTATGATGTTATGTATGTGAGATAAAAAGATGATTGGGAATATAAAAAGATGGGTTAGGAAATGTGTTTCTAATGTGAGCAAGATATTATTTGGGATAATTTCACTATCTAAACAAACCACTACTATTTACAATCTATATTTAAGCACCTTCAGTTTATGCTCAAGGGCTTGATTTTTTTTTTTTTTTTTTTTTTTTGGGGTCAAAACTTGGATAGTGCACGTGCTCTTGATGGAAAGTAGGATAAGGAAGCAAAATGTATAAAAATTTATATTATTATTTTAAAAAGTATTCATAAGTTGGTTTTTCATTGAATGAAATTCCACAGTAAATTGCCCTTTTTTATGCAGTTCTTGATCTTATTAGTAATGATTTTTTTATTTTCAAAATTAAGTGTTCATTTTTGTATCTTTTTCGTTACTCTTGACATTTTTTATTTGCTTTGCTAATGGATTTTCTATTGTTTTCCTTTCTTAAAATTACTATAAGCGAAGGATTGTTTATGGAATCAGGGCATATTATGATAAATAAGGAAAAAAAAGTTTTTTTTTTTCAAGATAAATTGTATATTGAAGACTAGTTACTTGTTCTATTGGATTCTATGCCTTAAACCCCCCAAGGATTTCGACTTTAAGCTGTCAAGTCTTTGTGTTCATTGCAGGGTATCTCTCAATAACGCATGGTGGTTCACTAAGTACGTTCATTTTACCAAGAGATTTAGCTCAGTGATACTAAAGTCATCTCCAAAACTATGAGGTCAAGTTCGAGTTTCAATAGAGCCAATGTTAATAACAATAATAATAATAATAATAATAATAATGAATAAAAAATCGTATCACAACGAAAAAACCACGTGGACCACCACAACGACAGCATATTTTAATATAGAATGCACGAGTATTTTTAATTTAATTTTCTTCAAATTATTTTGTTTAAGATAATTGGCCTTTCGGAGTCCACCAAGTTATTTTACAAACTAGTGCGTTTGTTTTTAACTTATAAAATTATACCTGAAAAATTATACCCTAATTAACATATAATTTATACGCTCAGATACAAACTAAATAATGGTTTATCTCCTTAATTTTAGAAATTTCTATGCTTATATATATATATTACTTTAACATGTCGTCATTTTCAGTCAATTTTTGCAGGCGAACTCAAAATTTAATTTGGTACAGTCACTTTCGTGTTTGAAAGTTCTATAGGTTCGAATTGGTACAGTATTAAACGCTTGAAAATTTATTCCTCTTCTAGGAACGGGGGAGGAGCCCAGCTAGGATATTTTGTTGGGGTTTTACGGGTCCTAGACTGGGCTAGTTTTATCAACTTTTATTCTGTACCCTAATAAGGATGGGCCTAACTAAGAGAGATGTTTGCCCGTCCAAGCAAGAAAAAACCAGTCAAGTTACAAGTGTGCTGCAATCTACTTTCCAAGTAGGCCTAAACAAAATATAGAAAATTTACACCCAAAAAAAAAAGAGTAAACTGTCTACAAAATCAGTAAAAGTTCCAAAAATATGTACTCCACACACACACACACACACACACACACATATATATATATATGGATAAATTTTATATATACTGACAGTGTATACATTATTATTATTAAATATATGATATATATGCAACAGTTGGATTTCAAATTCAAAATTTAAATAGCTGTCATTCATCCAAAATTGACAGAGTATACACTGTTAGTGTAGAAAATATTAATAATATATATGTATTTATATGTGTGTGTATATTCATCCAATCAGCAATTTTCATCCATAAGTTCTCATTTAGAAGCTTGTGTATTGCACATTGATACAATTATTTGAAATAAGAATCCGTATAAGCTGTCTACATGAAAATGTCCTGGAAATGACATTCCTTGACAAACCCTTTTACAATTTTGTGACATGTACAAAAAGCGAATGTGACTTGTTAAATCTATTACAAATGGCTTGCTTTTCGGGAGCATTCAGCAGCTCTGCGGTACCATTTAACAAGTTGAATAGATTTTGATGAAATTATTGCAAGATCAATCAGAAAGCTTTGAGAAACTGAGCCTTCTGAGCTGATCAGTAATAGGAGAAGACCATCCTTTCCCAGAATTCCCACATTTTAGATCCACAATTTCGACTATTCGAGTTTTTCGCCTCTCTTGACAGCCTCTGGCTGGAGTTCTTTCCAGAGAAATGTCTTCTGATTCCAACATAGGAATGGATTGAGCAGATGGACTTTGATTATGAACTTTCTTTCGACTGCTTATTCCTGATGATCTTCTTGTATCACTGCTTAAAATGCTGCTTTTGCAACCAGTACTAGTGCTGTTTCTCTGATCAGATTTAGTCTTCTTGACTTGTACTGATCTTCTTCTTTTCTCACAACAGTAGACTGAAACTGGCACAGTAGCATTGGTAGGTCTTCGTCTAGAAGACACGGAATCCAACTCTTGCATCATAAGAACTCTTACTTTGCCAATGCTTCCAACACCAAATGTTGGCTCTTCACATTCCTTATTAAGCCTCCTAGTTTGAGCCATTTCCTTCATAGCTTGCTTTGAAGCAAAAGCTTCAGGCGAACTCCAGATGGGATTGATCTCAATTTTCTGAAAAAGAGCAGAGTTACTAATATAAGAGAAAGATGCAGTTCGACTAATGAAACAGTTATCAGCAGATTGTTGATTAGAAACTTCATATCAGAAACTGGGAATCAAATTACCTAAAGAGGATTGACAAAACTCAGGACATATAAGAGCATCAAATAGCAAGAAATTGTATCTGTCTAAAGCACATGGTCTATGTTGATCAAACAACTCTTCAGAAATATAAGAAAAAGAAGTTAATCAAACAAGAGGAGGATGCAACTTGAGTATGTACCAGGAGGATGGAGAAACCAAAAGCTGGTGGATTCACTGTGGTGCAGAGGAATGGCTTAGAAAAGGGCATTAAAAAGCAATTCGTGGACCTTTCTAAATCCCAAAATTATTAGAGGACAAAATGGGAGAAAATTTTGGAATCATTACGTTTGGCTTTTGACAACCTTAAAATATTTGTTGCAGGCAATCAAGGCAACGTTTATTAGGGGACCGACAAGTCCGGTGAACACTTGGTCAAAACCAATTCCTATTGTGTTAAATCTACTTATAATTGGATGAGTTTCAAGAAGAGAAATGATATTTTCACTTTAAAGTACTCCTCTGGCACTCCACTTTTCTTCACATATAAAAAGTTAGGTTGGCATGACACGAGAAAACTCGGAGTGCAAATATCTTTCTATTTTTTTTTAACAGGAGAGGGATAGGATTTAAAAAACGAGAAGGGGTAAAGGGATTAAAATCGAGGACCTCTAATTTTTGAATTTTCAACCTTATTCACTAAATAAGGTCTTCTCGACTGGAGTGCAAATATCACTTGCTTTTGAGAGAATAAAAGATGAAAAAGTGTGTGCTTGGAGAACTTATTTTCAAAAAGGTTATATGTTTAGCTTTTTTTTTTTAAGAGTGCTTGAAATTAATTATAATTAGCAATATACATTTTGGATAAAGCCATTACAAATGTTTATGAAATTACTTATCATAAATATTTTCTTCATGAATTAGCCTATGCAAGAATTGTTACTTTTTTGGATATTATTTTACTTGATTGTAGACTGTCGAACAAAGACCTTTGTAGGCATGTATTAATTAAGGTTCAATGTGAAGAAATTTTCGCCACGAATGGTTGAGCCGACTAATTAGTGTTAATCCATTAATTCTTGAACAGCGACAAATACCAGCTCAGGAATATGGCGTAATGAGCTGGAGAGTGGGCGCAGGGCAGTTGACTAGGACCTTATAGATGGGGCCATATCTCAGATGCTAACTTTGATTAATTCTTAGGTTGCTTTAATCTAATTCATGAACCCATGTGAAAGTGAGCAAGGATTGTTGTTAATATTTTGCATTAATCTAATTCATTTAAAGAGAAAATGATTAGAACCTTTCCCTTAAAATTTGTGACCTTGTCCTACATAAGGGGAGTCAATTGTAATAACTCAAATTACGTACATTTCTCTTGTGATAATTATGTTAACTTTGAGGGACTGTCCGATGGTTAGAGAAGGATTCTTAGAGTCTTTCTTATTATCAAATTCAAGATTCAAATTCTAGAAAGGGTACAAGAAGTGGTGGGAGGGTTAAAAAAAAAAAGAAAAAAAAGAGTATATATGAATTTTGGATGATAAAATATCTGATGATGAAGTAAATTGAAGAATTGAAGTTATTTATTTTGATCCAGTGTATCGTTGTAGCATGATAAACTGATCACAAGTATTTTAAGGTCCACATAAACACCCCCCCCCCCCCCAAAAAAAACACCAGCATGAGCCTTCTTAAGTGTTAAAAAATGGGTCATTTTAAGGTTAATAATTTTTACCTCTATTTAATTTTGCACACAAAAATGAAAAATAAAAATTAAATAAAAAGGACCTTAAGTTTGTTGCTTCCCTTTCTTTCCATCACATTCAAAATAATAACTTTCTCCAACTTTCCCCCAACTGATGCATCCGTTGTCTTAAGTTTATTTTTTAAAACGACTTTCCTTTTTTTTTTTTCAAAAATGTTTTTCTAATAGGAAAAGGGTGGGATTTATCATTTAAGAAACAAGAGGGGTAGAGAAATTAGAATCCAGAACCTCTATGTTTTAGGATTTTAATTTTGGCCATTAGACCAAAGCCTCGTTGACGAAAGATATTATATTTGTTTTTTTTTTCTAATAATAGAAGAACTTGAATTCAGAACTTCCTACGTACAATCTCTTCTTCCTTAATTACCATCCAATCTAACCCTGCCCCAATAAAATTATCTTAAGTAAGTCACACAAAAAGGTGTGCCAAAATAACACAATATATGTAATACAAACTTCGCTTTGTTATCCAATTTTGTTCTCGACGTAGCATTTCAATTGGATGGATGCGATTATGTTGATATTGTCACATATTATGCCAAAATTTAGGTAGGGACCTATTAGAGTTCATATTGCTACGACGTCCGGTAAGGCTTTGTCCCACCATTTCTGTTTTACTTAAGAAAAAAATGAATAATGTGGCTCGCCCCAAATGAATAGTAGGCCTTTTTGCTTTTTCTTTTTTTTTTTGCAATAGGAAAAGAGTAGGATTTAAGAAATAGAGAGAGAGAGTAGGAAGATCAAAATCTAAAATCTCTATGTTTTGAAGTTTCAATTTTAACCATTGGACCAAGACCTTTTTGACATAAACTAAGCTCCTTTGGTTCTATGGATGCTTGAAATAATTTGTCTTTTCCATATTATTATGTATTTACGCCAATAGCCTCTTGGGCTGTTGGTTAAAGCCTTGGTGTTATAGGTAGGAGGCAAGGATTGGCTGACACTTTCTAGTAACTGCCTCCGACGGGGTTCTCGGTCCGTTAGGCTTTCCATCCTCTTAAATTAGATTAAAATATGTTATATTAATGCTATTGTTGCAACAAAAAAAAATATTATTATATATTTACAGTTGGTAAAAAAAACCCTTTATTTGAGGAACAATTGAATCCATCCACATGATGTTCTTACTCTTCAATTTTCTGCTTAGGTTTATCATGTATTTTTGGTCCGAGTGCTACATGGAAATACATAATTTAGAATAGGGAACGAGAAGTATAAATTATGGGTTCTAACCCCCTCTGCACCCTCCCCATTTCTTAAATTTCACCCTTTCTTCGTTAAAATTTTTTTAAAAAAATTATAAATTATGATTAGTTTGGTACAATGGTCCTTCAAAATCTGGCAGATTTTGATCATTGCTACTAAACTTCGCTCAGCAAGCTGGTTTACTCAAATACGGCCCATTGAATTGCCATGAGTTAGATTTCCAATTGGATTTTATAAGGAAATGACTCTTCCAGGTTTATTGAAACCCAACAGCAAAGCCTAATACGTCAATGCCGATTCTTGAAACAAATGTTGATCCATGTTTCTTCCAAACTTTTGGAGCCTTACACTTTCTGAAGGAAAGGAAAAAAATTTTTTGGGTATAAATCACAGGTATCCGATTCGTTTTATTTTTCATTCTCATGAGTTTAAAACTCGAGACCTCGTAGTTAAAAGATGCAAGCCAGTATTTTGAAAATCAAATCAGATTGGCGAGTTCAACCTGTTGAATCGCAAACCAACCATGCCTCTAATCCGATTCAATGAATAATCCAAATAATTAATAGAACTGATCAAACTCGATCAAAAATCAGTTGAATCGGTAAAAATTGGAAGGCTCAACTGGTTTTTATTAAAATCTTATTTTATAAAATAAATATTTTAGTTTTATTCAAAATTTTTAATGCTAAAATAAATACAAAAATTATTAAACCTTTGATTCGGAGTTAAATCGGTTGAGGCGATCAAATGCAAACGGGAAGGTTTTTCGGGTCACTCTACTATCTGAATTTTAAAACATTGATGCAAGCCCCTTCCACTGCTATATCATTAAGCAGCTCGGTACTTGACGTTTGCTCATCCTTCTTAGTATTTGATGTTCATAATTTGTTCTCAACTCAGATTATATTATAAAGACATTAAATAGTGATGATGAAGCCTTTAATTTGACTCTCGAGTCATTTTCCTTCCCATTTTTTCTTGTAAACCTTAGACCATAGTTATTAAACTCGGCCCGGAGAGGAGACCGGCGAAGGAGGTGGGTCAACGGGTCACTGGTTCAACCGGTGGGTGAGTGGTTGAACCAGTGGGTCACTATATTTATTTAAATATTATATTTTATAAATTTGATATAGGATATATGAGATAAATTGTAATAAATAATGTCATAACAAATATTCATTTAATTTAATTTGCTATAGAATATTTAATTCATATAAGAATCAGCAAAACATAAATTTAATTAGTAATCCACCAAACTTCAAGTGTAGATGTTTACTGTAATTATCTAGATTATTTACAAATTTTAAATGCAAAAAAATATTTAAAAAATAATATTTGTCTTTAAAATAAATTATGTAATATGTTATTTTTGAAATCTATTTTATAATTTATAGAATATAAGGGTCATAAGTTTTATTAAAAGATTCCAAATACATTTGTTTTGGAGAGAGTTTAAAAAAAAATAAAGATGAAATTAACAAAACATTCATATAGCATAAGAATGGCCATTAATGAACAAATGACAAAGTGGTCTGGTGGTGAGTTACGCACAAACAAAGTTGAAGGCTGGAAGTTCGAATCCAAGCAAAGGCTTGGACAAACATTTTTTCCTCAAACTCGGTCTGCCCACAAAACTGGCCGGGTTTTCGGTTTAATCCGGTTGAACCGTCGGTCCGTTGAAAAGTCAACGGTTCATATGCAGAAACGATCCAATTGGCCGGTTCGCCGGGTTGACCGGTCGAACCGCCGGGCCGGGCCGAGTTTAATAACTATGCCTTAGACTCTCTTTTAAATATATATATTTTAAAATTTTTATAGTGAAATCACTCTCTCTTCTCCTTCAAAAAAATAAAAAAAAACTAGTATACTTTTATAGCTTACAAGGTTGAAGAATCATACATATTGAATTTTATTTTTGACTTAATCATTCAAACCATTTGACGAAGATATTAAAATATATTACTTCCTCTGTCTAAAATTGTTTGTCAAATTTTGAAATTTCAGCCTTTTAAGAATAGTAACTTGATAGTGATATTAGTGAATTTGTTTTCAAAACTGCTCTCTAAGATTTAAAATTTGAATTTAGTATAAAATATAAATAAAGATGAGAATAACATTGAAAAAAAAATCAAAAGTAACTTTGACTTTGATTGGATGACCAATATTTTGAAACATTCTAAAATAAAAAATATTACACTTTCATTGAAACAGAGAAAATACTACTTATATTGCTCTATGTTTTAGGAAAGTATAATCATAATACCTTGCCAGTTGACTTTATGCATCGAACTAGCAAGCCGATATCCTTCACCTCCCCTAGGCCAAGTTTAATTCCTAAGGT